AAATGAAAATATCGCAACTATGCATTTTAATTCTTCCGCCAGTCAGCACTTCCAAGAAACCATAACTGCACCATTTTCTATGACGTAATACACAATTTCTAATGAGATAGTGCCACATTGACGTAATGTTTATTTTCCGAAACATTAATGGTGGTTAAATTGCCTCTCGTGCAATTTTCTTTGTTTATTTTTCTATCTTCCTCTAATTATTTTCTTTAATTACTCATGAGAACATAGTATTTATTTATTTAATTAATGACCCGGTGACCTTTTGTAATTAATACTTAATTTATCATCTATATCATGACAAGTGTGTCTCGAAACAATTTAGAAGTTTTCTGATCTGACGACATGACAGTGACAACTAAACGATGTTAGTAACTTTTTAGAAAATCCAGGTCCATCAGAACACACCCGAAAATGGCAATTGACAGAGTTGGGGTATTGTTTTGATGTGCTTTGGTCTATAATTTATATTTCTAACACGATGGGGTACAGGCGGGTTACTAGAAATGGGGGATTATCCCCACCCTTTACTAGAAATGGGGGATTATCCCCACCCTTCCCTAGATCCACTCTTTTACTATACTGACCACTATTTGTAACATGAAATGAAATGGGGTTTAACGTTGAACTGAACTGCACCAACCCAGCTAAAGAAGAAACGCTCACTTGTAACTAAATTTTGTTCTTAAAATTAATATTTAATACCATCCTGGCTAATTCTCGGTTTTCTGTGACTGTGTAATAATAAACTCCATCAAAATGACTATAATATTGCGGGTCATAATATAAGTAATAAATTCATCATTGTTTAATTAAAGGTCAACATATTTGGCCCATGATCTTGACACGCGTTAAACATTATTACTCCTCATAAATAATAGTGTTAGGCACAAAATCACTTTATGGATTGAAATATCTACCAAAATATGTAATATTTGTATACAACATATTTTGTTCGATATATATTAGATTTAGTTGTGTATGAATTGTCATAGGTGCCATGTTATGGTATATTGTGTGTACCATAATATGATATTTTGCGTTAAATATCACATACTTAAACATAAGGTGGTTCACCATTTCACAAAAATGACATACATATTTTGTTGTGTACAGTTCTTTTGGTTTTACATGTATCACAACCAGACCGCTTATCGTATTTGGGAATATATACAAAATCGCTTTTATGAATATTTAATCATGCACAAGACCATGTAAGTTTTTTTTTATTCGGGCAATAAAGATTCCCCCTTTTCTAACAGGTATTAATTCATACTAACAAATTTTAGATATTTTAATATTTCGAATTTAAAGAAACTAAACCTTTTTTTGATTTAGTTGCAAAAATGTCTTGAATTGTTCTGATACTATTAAATAAGTAATTAACACGTTTTAAAATTAAGGTTCAAATATCTTAAATTCTAAATATCGTAATAGACCTAAAATTATATTTTATTAAAATGTCACTAGGGGTTTTAATATACAAACTATACAAATATTAGTCTGTACATGTTTTAGTCAATAAAATGCAATAAAGACAGTTTTTAAGAGTCCCACTCAAATTTTCAATTTGGCACTAAGAGGTCAACTACAATATTTGTTAGAACAATTTATTAGTTATTAATTCAGAACAGTGTTTGTAAATGGCCTGAAAGAAATGACATATCCTCGACATTGTACGCATTCAAGTTGTGTGCACACATTTAAGTGACGTCATAAAACTTTCACATTTTACGCTGGTAATTTACAACATCACGTGATACGTCAAACACTCATACGACAGTAAAATATTCAATAACTTGCGAGCAATATTGTCAAATAACACTTAGATATGGTGACCCTTACCAAAGGTCAGATTACTGAAAGGTCAAAGTTCGATAGCTTATCAATTAATGTTTTATAATAATTGATATAGATAATGTAATACATGACTAGCATATTCGTGTTTACGCAACACGTGATAATTTGGTTGAGATTGCTTAACAGTAGATATTGTTCAATTTTCGAAATGAGTTCAATTTTTACCGCTTCCAATGTAAATATGATAAATCAAACCATGAAACTATAAAGTCAACAGTAGCTTTATTGTTGTAAAATATAAAACTTTTTCAAAAATCAACTTTCTAATTGTAAACCAAATGGTATTCACCAGGTAAATTGTTCCTTTTATTTCGCAACCGAAAAGCCATTAAAATAAAATTGTCGCTCATAAATGGATATTTCGGGGTAATGGGCAGTGACAGACTCCCACTTGCGTTCATGACATCAAAAAGAGGGTTTACTTGAAATTGAGAACATTTTGAAACATCAAACTTTGACCATGCAGGGGTTTTCCCAAGGGGAGACAAGTGTTAAGTTAACTTTCATTCACTGGTTCAACGTGGGGAGGATTTTTCCCGGGGGAAATCGTGTTTTCGCTCTTGTTGAAATTAAATATAAATCAAAAAGACGCTAAAGTAATTGATGTTGTGAAATTTCTAACAGGGGGGTACTAAACATTTCTCCTTGCAGTGTTAAATGATACATAACAAACCGATGCACGTGGAAAATACGTTACATATGTAATCGCACGAGGGGGGGCTTTATATAAAACTTTATTTAAAAAAAAAAAAACATTTTGATTTTTTATTAAATTAAAGGAGAAGTCGACATTTGATATACAAAGACCCGTACCTTTACAGTTATTTGTTATAGGATTCACAGTAAATATTTCTGGTAAAAATAGTATTTGTTGGTTGATTTAAAATAAAATATAAAACTATATTTAAATAATCTAGGATTTATTTCTTACTTTGGTATTTTGGCACGACAAGATGAGGTCCGATTTGTAGCAAAAGGGTGACGTTCGATTTGTTAAACAATTCAAATAAAGAATGTGTAAGTAACACTAAAAACTTGTTATTGTATCAAATTTGTAATGACAATGAAATAGTAACGTAGTTTCGCTTTAAATAAATCCGGATTTTCGACATTTGGTTTCATATATATTTGTATGTGCCCAATTTGTCCCAATTAATTCTAAGGAAAAAATCTTTTTTATAGCAATTATGTAGAAATTTGATTTACATTATATTCTGTGACGCATCTGGTTCTAATATTGTGTCTCTTTAAAGTTTTTTTTCGGTTGGGTTTATGTGTTTTAATAGTCGAATATTAATGAGACATTTCAAATAGTCTGCTGCTGTAGATTTGTTTTTCTGAGGCTTACAAATTATGCTGTATATTTTCCAATGTACATACACCATTTTGTTACTAGCGCAAAGAGAAGACAATTCATAGGGTTATTTGTATCTTTTTAAAATTAATAATCAGTTGTTTGAACGAAAATACAAGTGGTATATTGTAAGTCATTTTCTAATATCCCGGCATAATAGAATTTGAACAAATCGTTGAAAAATCACTTTAATTTATACGATAAAATTATATCACATTTCTTCAATTAATACACCGAAACATTAATATCGAAGAAAACACTTAAAGTTTTATTATCTACAAAGTGTGAAATTTATGGGTTTTCTATATTTAATTTAAATATCTTATCGTCTCATCTCCTCATTACAGTTAAACTACTAAAGTATTTTACCAACGAAATTATGAATTTTATAAACCTGTCAATATTTTGCATACAACCTTTCTTAACCAAGTATAAATATTGTTAATAAAGTATAATACAGTATTGTGTTTTACTTTATCGTCATTTTAATCGTGTCAGTAATCTTTAGTTTCAGAATTTAGATATTCTGAATGAAATGAAATGGGGATTAGCGTCTTACTTTTTTTCCAAAGTTCAGATTGTCTTTCGTGGTATTGATATTTAATGTAAAATTAAACAAATTTCAATTTTACACAAAGAAAAATATACGAGAAGAAATTCTGCAACCTACCATTTATTTTTGTAAAGTTTCGGTTTATTTGTGATATATTTGTGATTATCTTTTTATATAGTATTATAATATCTAAAAAAGAATAAAAATCAAGAATCTTTCTCCAGAAAAACTGTCAATAGTGGCGTAAAAATTAAAGTATCGAACAGTGGAAAATCAGCAATTTCATGCAGTATTATAATTGTCGTAAATGTAATCATAATATTTCATGATCTAAACGAGATATCACACGTTCTTATCTGAAAATTACATGTTTTATTTATATATAAAAACTCCATCATTTTCAAAACATGTGTTTTGAATTATATGGGGAGTAATACCGACAACTATTCTGAAATAATTCTAGCTTCTTGTCAATATTAATCTTCTTGCGATTCTCATTATTGTTAAAATATTAAGGGACAAATTCTCCAAATTCTATATTTTAGATAAGGTCATGTATGTTCGCGATTTTGAATGGCTTGATCGCTAAGTACCGTGGCCGTTAATGTTTAGTATTTTAAAATTATTGTATAATTGTTTTCCGTTGATGTAGCTTGGATACCGATATGACTTTTAGACGTTATATTAGGAGTTAAAGAGTTAAGAGTTTTGAGTCTAATTGTTTACAATCTCATACTACAATTTGACTTTAAAATTAACAATTATAACAACCCTCCCCCCCCCCGCCCGCCATCACACACACAAACCACTTGTGTTGTTTTCTGAATAACAAATATATGTAAATATCGCGTTTAAATTTCAAAATCGAAAATGGTATTTAAGCAGATAAATATGCCTGATATGTATGTATGCCATAGTTTGAATTAGTGAAACGTGTGATAAAGATGATGCTATTCTAAAACGTCCATTTTGAGAAAGATGTTTAGTAAATGTATAATGTACTGTTTTCATTTTATATTTATTAATCGTTGATACGAAATTAGATGTGGCAGAAATATTGATTTTATTTGGAAATCACGAAGTTGAGCAGCACTTCACATCTACCTGTGCTCTTAATGAACTATCTTTTTAAAACTAAAATATCTCAAATCTATCATGGACCAAGCAACTAGTGTCGACAAAACTCATTATTATGTTTTCAAAAAAAAAAAAATCATATGAACTAACCTGGACCGGTTCGGCAAAATCCTTGCTGTAGTGTCATATTATTAAAGGTGTTCCATCGACCAATATCTGTTCCCATATACGTCGGGTAGGGATTGATACCCGGGGGTCGGGCAAGAGAACCACTGTATCCTCCATCGGGTCTTGTGGACGGTGTCGAGATCGGAGACGTCGATGTCGGGCTAAAGCCGAAACGTTGCTGTACTGATGGATTCGATCCGTAAGAAACGTCGGATTGTAAGTTGTAGGATGACGAAGATTGTGTCGGGTAGTTCATCGGTAACATGCCCCTTCCCGGTGGGGATTGACCGGCTGGGTTGCTCACGTACTGCATCGGGAGCATCGTACGAGGAGTAGGGACGTACAGCGGGCTGGTTCCCGGGTGTAGATACGAGCTGGAAGTTTCGTGGGGGTATCCTGAAGGCGTTTGTACCGACATGGCGTGGACGGACCCTTGATACATTGCTGAGCTAAGGTGGTGAGGGTCTGAATTCGATGACGTAGTTGGTGGTAGGTGCCCTTGGGAAGTGATGGAAGGATGGTCCAGGTAGTTGAGATAGTATTCTACGTCTTCTTTCGGCAACAACTTGGAGTGATATTCGGGCAGATTAAGAACGGGGTGCATGCCCCTCTGGGAAACAGCGCTGTAAGATTCTTGAGCGACTGGCGATCGTGACGATGGACTAGATGATTCCGATTTGACGGGGTTCGGAGAAGATGACGATGTAGTACTCTGATCCCGATGGTAGGGGGTGGAAATCCACGGCGATTCAACTTGAGCCATTGAACTCCATTAGAAAGTCCAAAAATCCAGAAAAAAATGTCTTAGAACAAAATAAACCACCGTTCAAATTGATGTCAGAATCCAAACGCAACTTAATGAAATGTTCCAAGTCCGAGTAAATGAAAGAAAATTATAATATCCTCGGTAAGAAATTACACAAGTTTTGTTCCAAGTTCATTCACAAAATCACAGTCGCAATTGTATACTTCGTGTTAGCAAAAAAGTTCCAAGTTGAAATAACGCAAGACCGTTATCGCACGTTTATCCGGCTATATCAGTTGGTATCATAATATGATAAGTCAAATCTCTATTTTAAAGATAAATACCATTCGACAACGTACGTATATATACATCTACATCAGAACAACCCACTCCATAAGCGAATAGAACCGATTTCTTAAACTCCTCCCACAAAGGGGTGGTTTTAAAATCACGTGATGTTAGATTGGCATCTAGGGTTCAGATTGACATGGAAACCATTAATGAAGACGTTAACCCTCGCCGTCTTTGAGTTTCCAGTATTTCTTTGACCAATCAGAGAACACGCACCTGCAAGCAGAAATATAGATATTTTCTTTATAAATAAAGCGATGTTTGTGGTAAAGAGATTAGCAATGTGTTTATATCATTCATAAAGTTGTATATAAAACATGAATCTAGATTTCATGTCTTATGGATGTTAATGTATACATTAGACCCAATATTCTTTTAAAGTGGTTTCATACTTCAAATTTCAACTTGTAGCAAACATCCATTAAGCATAGCATGTGTTCAACGAATGCATGCTACAAAACACCAACAAAAAATCAAATAGAATAAAAATTTAAAAAAAAACCGAGAGGATGAGACTAGAAAAGAGATGCTGTAAACTTTCAACGGGCCACAGCATTATGATTTGGAGTTGAGAGTATCCCGTGGGTTCATCTTTAAGCGGCAAAATACGTTGGTCTTAGAAAGCGCTTTTCTATTTTATTTATAAATGTCTGCGCTATTGCAATATCAGTATCTGGCACTCACTCTCCTGTCGCGGGTTGACTCCATTTTGTTTCCTGTATTCAAATCGAACCAAGTTTATAACAATCAAGAAATGATTTTTTTTTTAAAAAAAAGTCTGCGAACTTTTCAACTACCTATTAATAGCATAAATCTTTAATTTGATGCTGTAGTTCATATTTATTTACTTATCATATTTTACTTATTATTTTCAGTCTCCTTACACATAAAATTGACATACATTTTTGGAGATGATTTCTTTATTCAAGCAAGAATTGTTCTAGCCCTGTTGGTTATTTACATTCTAGATCAAGGACGTTTAAGTACTTCGCAGAACAATTATTGGGAATTTTAAACTTCCCGAAAATTATACTTTTGGTAGCAATATGCAGCGTCATCTAGTCATTCTTAGACATTTCTTGACAATTTTTGATCACACAATATATGTTGTATATTGCAGTAACTGAGTTTCATAATAAAGCATTATAAGTTACGGACCAGGGTATTACCAGATGTAGATTTTGTTTAAATGTGGAACCCTAATATTGTTTTAATTATTCATTTACTTTATCCTACTGTCAACCGAAAATTTAACATGAAATATTTTTACGAACGACTGAATTCTTTGGGGACAATACTATTTTCCAATGACAAACACGTGCGTTCATCTTTACACAGAGGGATTAGCGATTAATGGATTAAGCTATTAATCTACGTGAGAAAACACTTACTCCAACAATTAACATCCATGATTAGTAAACAAACAAATGTATACTAGAGCAATCCCCACCCTGGATGATAACACCGCCTTATCTTTGTAGTTGATTGACAGAATAACACAGTATTGATCATTTGATAGGAAATTCTAAGGACTGAAACACTACAAAAAAGTGTAGTCTTCAATTTGTTCATATTGTAACGATAACTTAAGAGGTACATGAAGAAGTCATATCTAAACATGTTTTCTGTTTACTCAAGATGAACGACAAGGGCCATATTTATCAAACTTTGGAAGTCCTTACAATTCCTAAAATTCTTAATTATAGCAATAGCTTAATCTAAATGATAACTTATACGAAACCAGAAGTCATATCGACAAATGTTGGACCTTCCGAAAAGTGTATAATTTATTTTTCGTATAGGCGAGGATTCGATGTCCAAAGAGACAAGGAGTTTAGTATTTTACAAACTTATTGAACACAAATTCATATCAAAACAAATTTTGGACTTGTTCAAACGAAAATAGTTTCTGAAAAACATTTAAGAATACAAAATGTCGATGTTAATACGAAAGTCCCCACCCCCAAGTAAATTCTTTCTTTCGTAGTCAAGACAACCGCATCCCTGTGTCAAAATTTTCTGTTTTAGTATTCTGCTGAATACAATTCATATTCGATGCCAAAGTATCAGTATTTACCTATAATTAGCATTCCATAGATAAGAATTACGGATAATCCGCATTAAGACGATTAATGACCAAGGCCAGGTGCTCGATATGTATTCCTGGGAAAAACAAACAACTTTGAAATTTACATACGGGTACCGTTACTGGCTTCCATATCTTGCTAAAACGAGGCAGAGAAAGTCACGTCGACTCCAGACAAACCAAGTCGTTCTGATACTAACACATATATCTTATTCCAACAGTTCACTTGGTTGTAGGGGGAGAGGGAGAGAAGTGGGGTTTAACGTCCAATCGACACAAACTAGGTCATTTTGGGACTAACATATGGTGCAGTTTTATTTCATTAATACGTTTGCGCGTAGGGGTCTCTAACCGTAGAAGGAAACCGAAAAACCGGAAGAAAACCAACGAGGTTGGACAGTGGACCCAACTTCTTGTCAATGATAGACCTTATGATGCAACGCGCACACGTTAACCCTTTGCCCCCTACCCCCGCCCCGCTTAGAGGGGATATTCGGAATGTGCAAAAACCAGACAGAACCTACACTTACATCTTGCTAATATACAACGAGAAAGAGAAACTTGTGTCCACTCCAGACAAACCAGGTCATTCCGGGACTAACACATATATTTCATTTCAACAGTTCGCTTTCTTGTACAGGTCTTTCGTAATGGGTGGAAACTAGACAACCCGGGGAGAACCCACGGGGTTAGCAATGCGAAAATACATACGGGTCTAGGATGGAAACTTGGCTCATTTAAAAGGGCGTAGCAAGAAGGTTAAGATGTGTGGGTGTTAGTGGAGCAGTCAATGATGGTTTTTCATTTTTTCAACAGGTCTGCTCGGACTACTGTATGACGCCACTGCCCGAAAAATAACTCTACGAAAAGCACGGATCCAAACTCGATACTCGTGTTTACAAGAGTTTTCTTCCACGTTTTAGAATAAATTATTGTCATTAAAAGATATAATTTAAAATGAAGAATGACAGAAATATGATAAAACCAGTAAATACATTTAAGGGCCTAGGGTTGGCCCCAAAATATTTCTAGGGCTAGAATTGATTAATACTTAGTTTAGCATGTATACCCAAAAGATAAGTGAACAGGTCAATTTCGTCAGAGTTTCCGGATTGCAAAAGAAAGACATTGAGTAACACTAAAAACATATACGTTCAATACGACGTAAAAAGAAACAAAATATCTTCTTTAGGATTGTGCTGTGTCTAATGTATCATCTGTTGCGTCCTGGTCTTGTTCAATTTTAAATGAAAGCATGGTTCTTAAACTATTTTTTTAAATGGGGACAAAAAACAAAACGCTAATAGAATAGGAAACGGAAAAACAAAGAAAAGAAAAACCCATTGTTTTACACACAAGTGACATCACAAACCGAGAAAAAGAATGTACCAGTATGTATTTCGTTTCTTTTTATCGCAAGTTGGAACAGGGTCGAAAAGTTTATCAGCCGTCAGTTAATTAAAATATCTGTTCAAGATAAGAGATTTATTTATAAAACGAAACGTAAATTTTACTTTAATTTTTTCTTTCCGTGGTCGTCGATGTCGAGACATTTGATAGGTTGTATGTGTGTTTAACAATGATTCGACTGTTCCGTGATGCTTTGGTGTTTGTAGAATTTCGAGCCGTACTCAATCTGGATGAAAGGCTGACCATTGCATTTGATTGTCACAGCCGAGTCGGTGGTTCCATTCCAGGATTCCAAGGGACGTCTTGGGTGCGCATTGACCTTCTGGAAATCGATGCAATAAAACGAACACAAACAATTTGTTATTATTTGTATATTGTGCGCCCGGAATCTGAACCAGATATTGACATCAATTGGGGTTCCGTTTTCAGATAAGAGAAACGAATATGATAATCAGAAAACATAATCTTTTAGGATTACTATAAGTAGGACTATGACGTTCCATGGTTATTTAATCTCTAGAAACTTAGTTTTAGCAGATTGGTATATACAGTCATTGGTATATACAGGAAGTCTTGGGTTCCCTCCCGCTATTGGCCGAGACAGTTCCTTTGGATTTTCCGCTTGTCGGTGGTGTAGGGCAATGACAGTGTCTAGTCGTTCTGATGGGACGAAAAATTGAGGTCTAATGCGCATGCTGAAGTGCACATAAAAGACCCCTTGGCAGATGGAATTGAATATAAGACCAAGTCTTAGTGCCGGACAATATTTCTCTCATAGCACACTTTATGGCGTATAATTTGTATCGAGGGAACGTTCAACCCCATTTCTCTCTCTTCCTATAGTCATTTAAATTGCGTTATGAAATAACTTCAGTTTGCTAGTAAAACTATAACACGTAACGTGATTCGGACCAGTATTACGATCCGACTTTGTATGCTTGCCTTAAGATGTTTATTCAGACACTCTAGTATTATAAGCTATATATCCATCTCATATACACAGTCAAGATGTACGGGTATCATGTTTCGTTTCGCTTTGTGTTAATTTACTCTTCAAGATCTTAAATTTGTAGTAAATTAAGATTAATGACGTCAGCTTGACATTCGTGAGAATGCGACACAATTTGAATTTTTAAAATGTCTTATCTTTGTAAAGGTTTTAATTAAATGAGTTGATCAGAATTTGAAGAGCATTGTATTACAATTACAATTATTATTGTAGAAATGTCGAAATGGATCCTAGTGAGAATTTACACACCCAATTTAAGAATTTTAAAATAGGTAGATGCAAAACTTTAAAACGGAACAATTCTTTAACATTACCCCTTCCTCTCCCTGACAAATACACCAACAAAAAATAAAATAGGCCGTTTAATACATAAAATAACCCCATCATAAAAAAGTGGTATCAGGTGTTTCATAAAAGAGCAGACATATTCCCCTCTCCGAGCTACACACACAATATTTCTGGAGCGTAAGTGTAATCCCTAATTCACATTTTGAAAGGATGTCAGTGCCGATAATAACTAACTTTTCAACTGTGTCTTAAGTGAACCTTTTTACTCCCCTACATTGTTAATTATTTTTGGAGTAACTATACTTTTATAATTTATATAATAATGTATAGCGTTCAATAATAAAAAAACCAAAGCCATGATTATGTCGAGCTGTCAA